TGATGTAAAAATTATGCATCCAAACCCCTGCTTCTATCAATGTATTTCTCCAGTTTTACTTCTGTATTCTTTCTCTCCTATTCTCTCTAGGAATTTACCTGGAGAATTGTTGCTAAGCTGACTTTAACGATGTGGTCAGGGCAATGGCAGCACAATACTGTGCACTCCAATCTCAGCTCCCCCGACTACTTCCATGAATTTGTTGGTCAGATAACCACTGTCTTAGTTCTCTTCAACATAAAAGCAGTTTAAATACTACTGACTCTCCTTGAAAAATTGTGTGAACTTGTGGGACATATTTGAGGAAAAGCCCCTTGGAAAATGTAGAGATTTTTAACCTATAAGATTATTTTTGGTTTTTAGATACTCTGAAGAAGGGTTTTTTGAGGAAGCAGGACAGTCGATGTACAATGGTGAGTATAGGCTCTGTTCTTTCTTCTATTGCTCTTCTACCTGGATAGCAATATGGCTGTGCATGTGCATATACGTGCACATGCATATGCATGCATAAGAGTGCTGACTATCTTATAACTGTCTGCAAAATGCCTTTTAGTGCTCACAGGGCAATCCAGAAGGTCGAGAAGGTAGAGTGAGCATTGGCTCAGAGCCCACAGGCTCACCAGTACTCAAAGGTTATCTTCTGTTAGTGGTTGCTCAGCTAACAATCACTGATATAGGAAAAGAGCTTTATAAAATGTGTGTTTATGTGTGTGAGTGCACACCACCATGGACTTATTATTTGGCAGAGGATTGTGTACATGACTGTGATATAGGGAACAGGTTAATTATAGATGAGCATTTATGTGATGCTTTCTGAATTGAAATATCAATGTGATTTCTAAAGTTGTGTATGTATAGCTGGGGTAGTTTTGCAAACATGTGGATGTCTGATGTGACTGTGCAGTTGTAGATGTTCATATATACAGGTGTGTGTGTGTGTGTGTGTGTNGAGAAGTTAGTTATATACAGACAACCTAATATATTGTTCAGCTGGCTACAAAACTGGTTAATAACCAACCACGCCATAAACTTCAATCTCTGAGAATATTGGTCATACTGGAAAGAAATTATTCGCATCTCTACTCAACATAAATTTTCAAGGTAATCTCTCTGCCACTACAGAGTAGTAAAATAGCCCTGTAAGTAGAAACTCAAAACTAACACTGTACTGAAAGGACATTTGGTAATCTTTTTGGCCTATTTTCAAGTTTAGAACAATTGGATGAGTTCAGATTTAGCTACGATGAGTTGAGATACTTCTGAAATATTAAAATAGAGAAGTCCATGAGGCAGCTGAATATTATATGAATTTGAGGAAAGGTTTTTGGAATTCAAGGCTTACTTATAAGAGGTGAAGGCATGAGAAATAATAGTTCATCCTGAAAATATGCAGAGTCAGGAGTTGAACTGTAAAAGGAACCTTTAGAAACATTAATATTTACGAGTTGATGAAACAAAAGATTCTGTGAAGGATTGGAGAAAAAAATATACATATATATATATTAGGAGTGGCCATATTGGTTGGAAAAAGAAAATTTCATATAGAAGTCAAGTGAAGTTTTTTCAGGAAGGCGGGTGTCGTCTTCAGTAACATATGTCATAAAATATCCAGTAGGAAGGAGAATGCAAACATAACATTGGATTTGCAACTAGGTAATGATTTGGAACCTTCATAAGAGTACTTTTATTTGTGTGACAGAGCTTTAAAATATTAATATGAAAGTGAATAGGAAATTATGTAAATAAAGTAAGCGAAGGGGTCAAGAGACTCTAAGGAGTGTTTTTTTTTGTTTTTTGTTTGTTTGTTTCCCTAGGATGGGCAAGGTCTAATAAGCATGTATATTTGCTGAAGGGAAAGAATCAATAGGGTGGGAGAGGCCGTGGTTCAGGAGGGAAAGGAGAACAATGACCTAAGGTCACTGGAGAATTAGAATGAGTTGAGATCCAAAGCACTTTTGGAGGGTTTGGCCATGAACTAGAGGTGCAGAACTTTGAGATTAAAGGAAAGAAAAAAGGATGAAAGGTGTGAATACAGTTACATAGGTCATTTGGAGCCAAGTCAAGAAATTTCTGCCTATTGGTTTCTCTCTTTTTCCTGTTGTGTCATCACTAAATGTGTGAGGCAGGGAATTTGAGGAGGATAGTAAAGATATGAAATTGCACTATGGTGAAAAGATAAGAGAAATATTTTAATAGAAACATGTATTAACAGCAGAATCAGTGAATCATGTGAGGGCTGAGCTCAAGGTGCAGAGCATGGGTATAATTTTCTCCAGCAGTGCTCAGCAATCTATATAAAAGAATAACTACAGAAGTATAGGTATACTTTTACAGTGTAAAAAATAGGAGGTGAATACTTCCAGAAATCTCACATCATGATGAGAAGAGCAGAAAGCCTATCATATAACTCTTTGATGCTGCTGTTGCTGCTAATAACTTTAAATATTACTTACAATAGTGAGAAACATTTCCACAGGTGGGGTGTGAAAGGATCTACCAACCCCAGTAACCAAAGTTGTCTCAAAAATGCATGATGTGTTTCCTTTTAATTCCCATTGCAGACTTGCTCCACCACCAGGACAGCACATGATCTGACAGCAGTGGCTTCGTAGAAGAGCCTAATTCCCACCTCTTCTTGCAGGAGGTGGTACTACCTCCAACACCCTGGGAGCTCCTGCTCCCAGGCCATACAAATTCCTGAACTCAGTAGGAGCAAGGCAGGACGGTAAGTGGGAAAGAAGACCAGACTGAGAGACTTGGAATCCACATCCTGACGCCATCCTAAACTGCATGCACAGAGAAAGACCTTAGGCATCTCACTTCATTCCTCTGTGTGTTGGTTTCTCTACCATGGGGGTATTAGAATCGTGATGTGGACAGTGGTAAACTGGACAAAGACTTCATTTTCTCCCAAGCTTTGACACTGCGTAGGGCCGTTAGAGGATTTAAGAATGATGAAGCTTGAGAAACTAGGGTTGCTACTGGAATCATCTCAAAAGGCTCAAGCTAAGTGAGGAAGGAAAAATCCCACTTTCAGGCTCTGAAACCTGGTGCAACCCACAGTGGGAGTCCCTCTAAGCCTCTAACAACCCTGTGTGCTCCCAATAAAATGCCAGAATGTCACCCACAATACCAGAGTCCTGCTTTTCTTCTGAGGCCTCATCCCGGGAGATCCACTAGCAGCCTCCCCCTTAAAACCAGCTTCTGCTTCTGTCCCAAATTTGGTATCTTCCCAGGAAAAGAGTTGAGTGGGATTCAGAGTCCCTCCCCATGACCATTGCAAAAAATTCACAGTATTTTCTGCTGGCAGAAAACAATATAAATAAAAATATTTTAAAACCTTGCCATGTTTTTAGAGAACCAACAATCATGGTTTGTGTTGGATGGAAAATGTTTTGTCAACAAACAGGGCTTGAACACCTACAGTGCTCTTATCATGCAGTGTGTGGTTCAGACATCTTAGACACATTCCTCCCCCAAGAAAATTTTAGTAGAGTGGCAGAGTACACACACACACACACACACACACACACACACACACACACACACACATACT